CTACATGCAAGAAAATGAAACTGGATTGTCTAACCCCAAACACAAAAGTAAACTCAAAATGGATCAAAGACCTGAACGTAAGTCATGAAACCATAAAACTCTTAGAAGACAACACAGGCAAAAATCTCCTGAATATAAACATGAGCAAGTTCTTCCTGAACACATCTCCTCGAGTGTACGGCAAAGGACATCATCAACAGAACAAAATGGCATCCTATGGTATGGGAGAATATTTTGTAAACGACATATTCGACAAGGGGTTAACATCCAAAATAAATAAAGAACTCACATGCCTCAACACCCAAAAAGCAAATAACCCGATTAAAAAATGGGAGAAGGATACAAAGAGACAATTCTCCAAAGACGAAATTCAGATGGCCAACAGGCATATGAAAAGATGCTCCACATCACTAATCATCAGAGAAATGCAAATTAAAACCACCATGAAATATCACCTCACACCAGTAACGATGGCCAGCATCAAAAAAAACTAAGAACAACAAATGATGGCGAGGATGAGGAGAAAGGGGAACTCTCCTACAATGCTAGTGAGAATGTAAGCTAGTTCAACCATTTTGGAAAGCAATATGGAGGTTCCTCAAAAAAAAAAAAAAAAAAATTAGAAATGCATTTGACCCAGGAATTCCACACCTAGGAATTTACCCTAAGGATGTACGATACCAGTTTCAAAAAGACATAGGCACCCCTATGTTTATCGCAGCACTATTTACAATAGCCAAGATATGGAAGCAACCGAAGTGTCCGTCAGTAGATGAATGGATAAAGAAGATGTGGTACATATACACAATGGAATATTATTCCACCTTAAGAAGAAAACAAATCCTACCATTTGCAACAACATGGATGGAGCTGGAGGACATTATGCTCAGTGAAATAAGCCAGGCAGAGAAAGACAAGGGCCAAATGATTTCCCTCATTTATGGAGTATAACAATGAAGCAAAACTGAAAGAACAAAATAGCACCAGACTCAGACTCCAAGAAGGGACTAGCGGTTACCAAAGGGGAGGGGTGTGGGAGGGCGGTTGGGGAGGGAGGAGAAGGGGATGGAGGGGTATTATGTTTAGTACACATGGTGTGGGGGATCATGGGGAAAACAGCATAGCACAGAGAAGGCAAATAGTGACTCTGGCATCTTACTACACTGATGGACAGTGATTGCAATGGGGTGTGGGGGGGACTTGATAATATGGGTAATTGTAGTAACTACATTTTTTCAAGTGAAACTTTCGTAAGAGTGTATATCAATAATACCTTAATAAAAAAAGACTACACATGAATATTCAAAGCAGTTTTATTTGTCAAGTCAAATAAATGTCCCTCGGTAGGTGAACGGGTTAAAAAGACCTGGTATATCTGTGCAATATACTACTACACAGCAATAAAAATCATCAATTGGTACATGCAAAATGTAGATGTCTCCAAAAAAATATGCTGAAGAAGCTAGGCAAAATAGTACAAAATTCAAGATTTCATTCATTTAAAACTCAAGAAAATGCGAACTAATCTATAGTAACAGAAAAGTGGACTAGTGGTTGTTCAGGGAGGAGGGGATGCAAGAGGAGTTACAAGGGGCACGAGGAAGCTTTGGGGTGTGAGGGGTACACTCAGTATTTTGATTGCGGTGGTGACTTCACAGGTGTGTGCATGTCAAAAGTAATCGAACCGTGCACTTTCAAAGACAGTTTACTGAACATCAATTATACGTCGTCATTTTTTTTTAATATAAGTGTGCTCATGTTTGAATCCTGATTCAAACAAACCAGCTGTTTAAAAATAGTTGACTGGAGACTTAAGTATACTAACAAGTATTCATTTTATTTAATTGTGACATTTGTGGTTAAATTTGTTGTTATTGTTTTTTATACTTAAAGACTTCTTTGGGGGATAGTTTTAAGTTCACAGCAAAATCCACAAGGTACAGAAATTTTCCATATTCCCTGCCCCCCACACATGAATAGCCTCCCCCACTATTAACATCTCCCACCAGAGTGTTACACTGGTTCCTACACTGACACATCATAATCATACAAAATCCACAGTACACTTTGGGGTTCACTCTTGGTGTTGCACATTCTACGGCTTTGGACAAACGTGTGATGACGTGTGTCCACCATTACAGTGTCATACAGAGTTGTTTCCCTGCCCTAAACATCCTCTGCCTATTCATCCCTCCCTCTACTCTAACCCCTGGCAACCTCTGATCTTTTTACTGTCTCCATAGTTTTGCCTTTTCCAAAACCGTCATGTGGTTAAAATCACATGGCACACAGCTAGGTTGTCAGTGGTATTTTAGAGCTAACATAGATGGAAAGGTGGGTAGGCCAAAGCAGGCCTCACCGAGAAGGTAACAGCTGCGCTGACGGGAAAGGAGAGGAGATGAAGTCAGAGCAGTGCACAAGCCCAGGGAGAGGAGGTGTGGCAGGGCCACTGTGAGGCCTTTCGCTTACATCCTGAGCAAAACGCGGGCCACTGTGAGGTTTCAAGCAGCAGAAAACACAGACTTACAGTTTAATACATAGAAGCAGGAAGCTTGCTAGAAGGCTGCCACAGTAATGTGAGTTATAGACGATGATGGCTTACACTAGGATAGTAGCAGCAGAGGCAGTAAGTAAATTATATTCTCCAAGGTAGTATAGATAGTCTGTAGGCAGGGATACAAAAATTATATAGGCAGCTCCACCTTCAACAGGCAGTAGAGAAGACATAAAAGCTAGTAATTACTTAGACAGAAAAGTACTTTAACAGAAGTAACATGGTTACAACAGAAAGACAGAAAAGGTGGATCTAACTTAGCAGGGAGATGGAAGAAAAGTCCCTGGTAATTCTCATTAAATTTTGTCTGAATTATTATGTGCAAGTATCTCACTTAATCTCAAAACTCCTATATCCCCTATTTCAGTGAATGGCATCATCACTTGCCAAGTCACCTAAGCCACATATCCAGGAGTTGTTACGGCTTCCTTGTGCTCCACATCCAATCTATAATTCAAGTCTGTCTAACAGTTTAAGAGCTCTTAAATCCATCCTCCTTCCCACCACCCCAATTACTACTCTAACAGTAACCTCTCACCAGAACTTATTCCATGAGGGCTGGGAGGCCTAGTTTGTTCAGTGCCCAGAACAGTGTCTGGCACATAGTAGATGCTCATTTAAGTTTCTTAATGAATGAGTGGTCTTCTCCACCCCCAGGGAATCCATTCTTAGAAGCTCTTCTCAACACAACAACCCCTGATCTTCCCAAACTGCAATTACATTCACAGCACATGCTGGCTTAAAATTCTCCAAATGTTACTCACTGAAGAACAATAATACTCCAAAGTGCAGCTGTGTGGTTTGAAATGCCTGGTCAATGTGACATGTACCGTTTAACAAAAATATTACACTATTGCTTTCATAACACAAACGTTAAGGAAGGTGTGTTATTTTTCTGCTAATTACAGAGACATGAGTCTTTAATGGCTGTGAAAAAATCATCTACACAACAGTTAAAATAAATTCCAAATGGAGAATGACTGCTAGTAAGTACAGGGTCTCTTCTGAGGCAATGAAAGTGAAATTAGTGGTGATGATTGCAAAACCTCTGAATAGATTAAAACCTCCAAACTGTACATGCTAAAAAAGTAAATTTTATGTACATGAAGCATATCCTAATAAAGCTTCACTTATTTAAAAATGAAATAAATTCCGCAGCTTGGCACACGAGGCCCTGGTGATCTGGCATGTGCCTGCCTCTTCCACCACTTCCTGGTTCAGTTACATCAGGAGAGCTGACATAAGCTTCAATTATACAAAACTACTCATGATTCCTTAGGAAAAAAAAAAAAAAGAAATTAAGCCCTCTCTATCCACAGAACTCTATGTAAACACAGAGTATTTTCTTTCCTCTGCCTTTCAAGACCTACCTTCAGGGTCACCTCAGGAAAGCCTCCCCTTTCACACCCAGTTTCAGCCACCTCATCTCACCCCACCCTGCCCAGGAGGCTTCCAGATCCCAGGCATTATCAGGCCCCACTAGGCATTTTAAGACCATAGCAAATAGTAGGTCTCCAATAAATAATTAAGTCTAATAGACAACTCTGATTTCTATAAATACCCATTACAAGCAAAATTTAAGACACTTTGGCCAAAAAACCTTTTATGATTAAGCAAATATGGCAAAAATCTTACAATTATTAAATCTGGTTGCTGGTTATACTAGATTCATTAATATTCTATTTTTTTTATTATGTCCAATTTTTTCATAAGCAAAAGAGCAAATTTCCTAATGTTTAGGAAATGAATGTTAAGTGTAGTATCATGTAACAAAGAAAAAAATTAGCATTCTTAGACCGCTAAAAGCATAAGCAGCCCACACTTTCACACATAACGAGTTCCCAAAAACATGTACAGAAGTGGAACATGTGACAGCAAGGTAACAGACATGTCAAAAGAGGAATTATGTTCCTGGAAAGCAAAAAACTAAAACCACCTAATTACGTCTCATCTTACTTTTCAATACTATAATTCCAATTTCACACATGTTCTTGTTTTTTCCTTCACAAGGAAACAGTCAATGAGTAGAATGTGTGTGAGATAAAGGTTGCATGCTTTTAGAATGTCTAATGGTTATTAGCTTTGTCTCAACTGCATTAAAGTTTGTAGAACTTACACTTCAAATCATTGGTATCAACACTTGCACTCTGCTATTGCTATTCTTCTTAATAAGGCAGAAAACATGATTTTAAAACTTTTTTACAGCAATAAAACTCCAAAAAAATTTACCTATAAATGTAATATGCAAAACTGAATAAAGAAAGCTCAGGTATTTTAATTTATACCCTGCTTCAGCAGAGTAAGAGGCCTGCATCCCCATCCCCCAAATCCTCGGCTCCATTAACAATGCTGCACAAACATGGTAGTACCATGGAAACTGACCTGTTGCCAAGCAAGCAGAACACTAAGCAACAACTCAAAATGATAACTCATCAGCTGATCTAAAACCCTAATTCCATTTATGAGTATCACTATATGGCATAGGAATGAGACAGATGTTCAAAAAAATCTAAAAGATATCTAGCTGAAAATGAGTATGAAACAAAAATTCTCTAAGTGCTGCAAAAGGAATACACACACAAACGCAAATATTCATTTTATTTTTTTTAACAAAAAATAACATTCACTTTATTTTTATCATTTTGAGTATATGCTTTAGTTACCCTGTCTCCCCAAACAACACAATGTCTTTGACCAACTAAGAAATCATTCTCTTGGAAGCAAATCCGCAATTCTAACACACTTTTGATAAATAGCAAAGAAGTAATTTACTAATACAGTTTGACAGAAAAATTCTTTAATCAAAACAAGTTTGCATGTTGACACTTATGGCTTAACTAGAATAAATCTGCCCAAATTTAAATTATACTCAGGACCTGATATAATGTAATAGCAAGAGTTCCCTCAAAACAGTGGGTCTTAGTTCCCATTTCAACACCTCCCAAGAGCAAAACTATTATTAAAGTTATTCACACTTCATCTGTAGATGAAAACAATTATCTGAGAGGTCAAAACACACAACGCATGTCACATGCAAACACTGGTATTAAGCTCTTTTTCCCATATTCAGAGTTTCAAAACATCGTAAGTGTTTTAGCTATTGAAAACCACCAACTGACCTAATATTCCAAAAATGCTATCTGTTAAGTTACTCTTAAATTTTGTGTTAACCTTGGTTCACCCTGATTTCGTCCATATACATGTACATACAGACTGTCAAAGTACTCCTTTGTCTCCTGCCTCAGAGCAACATTTTCACTTTTTGTAGTCCTATCACATGTATGATACAGGAATAAAAATTTCCCAGCCATGTTTTCAAATGAGTTGGGTTTCCTTAAAAGCATTATGAATTTTTTTTCCAATTAAAAAAATACTTAGTGACTTCCTTTAAAAACATTCAGAAACTTCAGACATTTCTCAAAATAAACTGTTATCTTTTAGTTTTCAGTTTCAACTACTAGTGCCTGCAAAAGATCTTAGGTGGTTGAATCCTAAAGCCAGATTCATTCCTCTATTATAGCCCATTCTGCTCTCTGCAGGAAAATTATGACTTAATTCCCAGCCAAAAAACTAAATTACCATCTAAAGTTAACATAAGTTTTATATCTCGTAGAATTGTCAGTTCAACGTCAGTTGGATTATCTAGTCATACAAAGAGGCATACAGACCACACATTGTTACAAAGCAGCAGGATAATGTAACACAATGTAGGCTGAGATTAAAATTAACTTGTGATAAAAGAAGAGAGTAGTTGTATAGAAATAATATTTTATCTATCATAAAAATGCATGACTTCTATAAAACCCACACAGTGAAAAGACAGTCTGATAAATCCAAGATTTGTAAAAACTATGTACAAAACCCACAGTATTTGGGAATAGAGGAAAGGTTTATACAAGTAGCAGTTTTAAAATGTAATTTTTCTATTATCAATTACACATTAACATTCACACACACTAATTGGGAATATTCTACAACCAATGTCTGGAAAAGCAGTTTAACATTTCCTAAATGGATTTTCCTCACATTTACTGTATAACATAGCTGTTAATACTGCACAAGTACAATTAGCAATGTTTAAACAAAGATAAAGGGATTACTTCTCCCTCAAAACAAGTTTTAGACATCAAAACCTAAGCTTATAAAAATTTAAAACTTTCTGCAATCTAAGTATTTCAAATGAAAACCATTACAAACTTCTCAAATGTTCTTTATATTCCAGGTATGCCAACCTAGTTACCTAGTCTAGAGTCAGAGAAAGTTCAGTCTCTCTCTCTCTCCTCACCGGATGGCTGGTTCTTGCTGCTGGCCTCGGGGCTGTCCGTGCCTTCTTCACTGCTGTCTCCGTTGTGCTGTGGCTGGTTACTGTCCTGGCCAGCAGATCCTCCACTCAGAGTCTTTGAACCTGTTTGTTCCTTTCCTAGCTTTTGGTTTGGCCCTTTCTTCCCTTGATCTTTGGTTTTATTTGCCTCCTCATGCTGTCTCTGTTCAGCGCTTGTGTGATCGAGTCTCTTTCACCACGAAAGACATGTTCTTAAACTTGTTATACAACATGGTAGACTGTTCCATGATAACCTAACTTTGAATCGCCTTTTTTCATTGTTGTAATCATCTCTGTATGTTTCTGAGCTTGCTGCACTGCTACCTGAAGGGAAACAAGTTCACCCAATGCCTCAATACATCTGTTCACATTCAGATCATCAATTTTGAGGGAATTTTTTATTTCAGCATTTTCCTTTGAAGACTGGGAACAGGCACTCTTCTTTGAAGACGAGAATCCACTGACGTTTCTTGCTTCCTCTCCACTTTAGCTTCTGGCTTCTTTCCTTCATCTCTACTCTGCTGCTCGGTCTCCACTGGTTCTTGCTGGCATGCTGTCCGCTGCTGCTTTCTCACGCTGGCCCTCAGCACATTCCTTCTGTGAGCAGCCTCAACATTTCTTCCACCTTTTCTCTTCTTTTCACCTCCCTGGTCATCTCCTTTCTCTTCAGAATCAGAGGCTGATGTAACTCCTATATTAGCTAAATTTTTCCTTTTTGATTCAACTTCTTTGCCTCTTTTTTGTCTGGCTCTTTTCTTGGCTTATCTTCTTCCTTCTGGCCTTCCTCATCCTCGCTAAGCCGCTTTTTAGGCCGCTTTTCCTTGCTCTTGTCTCCCTCAGCCACCACGTCACTCTCTGAAGGGCAGGGCTGCTCTCTCAGCCCGGGGCCCCGGGGGCTCGGCCGGGAACCTCGGCCTCTGAGGCTGCGGGTCGCCCTCTTTCCGGACTCACTTCTAGGTGAGCAGATGCTGCTGCTGTCGCCGCTGCTCCTGCCTCCTCGGAGTCCACTTGTTTTTCTGCCTTTCTCTTCCGGCAGCTTTTGGAGCGGTTATGTCACTTGCTTTAGTCACATCCTCACTGCTGGCTTTTTCTTCATGATCGGTGTCTTGCTTTGAAATACTTGTTTCTTTTTCAACATCAGATGATGCATTTGATTGTTTAGTTGATGCCTGTTGACTTGAAAATTTCACTTTTGGACTGTTATCTATGTCCCATAAACCTTTATTAAAGCCTTTCTGTTTATTTGGTTTGCCGTACTTTTCCTTATTTTCTGGGTAAGGAAATAAACCCTTTGGGCCTAAAAAAGCAGTTCCATTAGTTCCAAAAAAGAAAATGGGTAGTTTGTTTGTGGGTGGTTTTACAGCTCCCTCCATAAGTTCATCTACTCGAGGATGGCCTTTCATCTTGGCGGACATGGTCTCCAGGTCTGAAATCGCAAGTCCTGTGTCGGGGGGCCGGGGGGTCCTAAGCACGGAGAGAAGGTGCGGCGGTGCGGACGGCTGGGGCTGCAAGACAGGGACGGACGCCTCTGCTCGCGTCCACACTGGCCCCCTGCGCCACCAGCTGCCACAGAGGTGTCTCAACTGCTCCAGATTGTAGCCGCTGCCACCAAAATATTCATTTTATTTCATTCTAACACGATGGAGGCTCAAGACAGTCAAAGAATGAGGTATTTCCTAAATTACACTTTCCGCAGAAGGACATTCATTAGAAATAATCATTTTGAAGATAATTTACTTTTTAAATGACACTGAATTCAAAAAATATCCTTCTTTGGAAAATTCTGGGCTAGAATCATCAGGTTTTAATGAGCATGTACATCAGACTGAACAGTTTATCACAAATACTGAAATGAATTAGTGACAATTTATGTAAAAACATAAAATTTGGTATTCTGGTTTCCAAAAGCATTATTATTCTATTTACAGAATGTATCCATAAACTTAAAATACAAATTCTTAAATTTAAAAGCTATAACTTCAAGAAAAAAACAAGTTTAGCGATAAAAGGCAACATATAAAACACCTAATATTCTCTAACAAAAAGGGAATACAACCAATTCCTCCGCTATCTTTTAAGAAAATCTAGCCTTTGCTTCTAGTCAAGACGGAGTGAAATGAACCAGATTCACCCTGTGATCTCAAACTGAAAAGCAGACAAATATAAAAGGCCAGAGTTTTCAAGGCACTGACACCAAGCAGCAAAACACAGTGGGCCCGTGAGGAGGAGCAAATGGAGGAAATCTTACGGCTGCCCCGGTTACTGCCTGGACAGTTGCCAACCGGCAGCCCCAGGAGGGGGCCCAGGGCAAGTCAGGCAGGCTCCCTGCGGCGAGAAGACAAGCTGAGCAGAGACAAGCCAAAGCAGGTGGAGTCTGCAGCGAAGAGCAGGGGTGAGGAGAGAGAGCTGCCCAGAAAGAAGCCCCCCGCAGAGCTGCAAAGGGTGCCCCCTGAGTACTCAGCACCAATACTGTGAAGAGAATCCTTGAAGTTTTTGGATAAAGAACAACTCAAAGAATAAAAAGAAACAATCCATGCAGCTCACACAGGGCCAAGAGTGCCTGTTCCCAGCAGCCACAGTGGAAAACCTCAGGGTTCACAGGAGGCGTGTGACCCGACCTGAGGCAGTTTTGGCAACCCTGATAGACCGCCACAAAAACAACTGATCAACCCATCCAGTGAACCAGCGTTCCTTCCTACCCAAGTGTTTCTTCTTAAAGAGGCTTTCTGGATGACTATCCCTGAAATATACTAGGTTGAAATCTAACTGTAACTTACAATTAATGGTATCTTGAGTGTTTTTCCTTAGTGACATAGAAATAATGTTGCATCATACAACTGATGGCATCTTAGAATGGGTTACCTCGGAGGGGTCATTAGTTTGAACCATACCTAAAAGCTTCTCAGTAGCTGTTTCCTCACCTGGAAAATGGAGGTAATAACAATGTTACCTCATATGACTGTTGTGATTTTGTTAGGTGTTAAATTATTTAATAGATATAAGGCGTTCAAAATAACCCAGCACATACTAAGGACTACACTGACCTGGCATTAATAAGTTATTCCTTTGAGGGTTTTCTGTTAGTGATGACAAGTTTTACCCCTATCCACACACTTACCCATTCCCTTATAATCAATAAGACAGATAAATTTTAGTCCGTAGCACCTTAACCTTTTTGTAGGAAACTGACCACTATGGTAACTGAAGTCGTATCTTTAACCTCTAACTAGTATGCTGCTATCACTGTATGCTGGTCAGAAATTAAATCAGAGCTTTTCAAGTCATCTGGCACTATAATTTGGGTCAACTGGTAACAGTACACCAAATGAACTGAGCAACACTGGAAACAAAAAGAAAGATGTGTCAATTCTTAGAAACAGTCATCTTAAAAATCAGGGGTACTGGTGACAAATATCCAGGGGCTATGTACCAAGGCCTGTCTTTAAGCAGAAGCATTTCAAATCAGGAATATATTTTTATTCCTTCTTAATCAAAGAATTCATCAACTCCCCCCTACTAAAGAAAAAACAAAACCTCTATGCAACCCTAACATGGGGTTAATATCCAAACATACAAAGAGCTCACACAAATCAATAAAAAGACCTACACCCTACCCTATAGAAAAATAGCAAAAGACACATTCACTGGAGGAACCCAAGTAGCCAAAAAACATGTAAAACAGATACTTAACTTCAACAGCAGTTAGAAAAATGTTAACATAACTGCAAAAGAATAGCACTGCAGAAAGTTCATAAATCTAACATCATAGTGAAGACTGGGTGAAAAGGAACTCAGGTGCCTTGCTAGTAGGAATGTACTTGTTTGGGAAATACCAAAGCAAACGAATATGCACAAATAACTTCATTGACAAAGACTTTAACAATAACAAAACACATTGTTTACCATACATAAGTACATACTGAAGTACAAAAACATGCATGGGAATTCTAATGGCCTTGAGAGTGTGTCACACAGATTTCCCTTCAGGAGAGAAGGTGCTAAGAGGAGTGTACCTGACAGCCCTGGCTGCCCGACCCCTTCGGGACCCACTGCAGCATGCATTCCAACATAGAGCCAGTGACTGAACACAGCAACCATTCTACAGGGCCATCCCTGCCCAATGAACTCTAACAATTTTTGTTCTGGTTGAGATTTTCTCCAAGCTGCACTGCAGTCTTACACTCCTGGATCCAATCATCAGTAATCCTTCCTTCTCTGTTTTCCATCACAGGTATCACACCTGCATCCCATCTGAAGGCTTCTGCCGCCTAACCTTCTTCCTCTTCTCTTTATCCTTCCTAGGCGTTTACCTCTATTGATTTCCTGCACACCTCCTTCTACCTTGGCATCTGCTTCTCGGAGGGTCTACACCATCACAGGAACAGCATAAACAAACTCCGAATTAGTGAACAGGGAGTGGAATAGAATTAGCCTGTAGCTGCACCTGAAGCAAATACATCCTAACATTAACAGTGTTAACCGCAGTGGTGGGTACATGTATTATTTTCTGCTCTGCTTTTTTTTCTTATTAACCCTGTCATTACAACTCTATCCTACCCTATGGTAATAGGTAAAGACATTCAAATTACACACATCTAGTCACTTCAGTTTTTCAAAGTTTAATTCTTATTTCTGATTATAAAATTATGAACACATAGTAGCAAGGCTCTAAAACAATAAAAGTTTGACATTCAGTTCGTTCAACTTCATATGGCCTGAAGACTACCTTGAGATACTTTCAATGATCTCAGAAACTTCAAAACTCAAAAACCCTGAAACTTTAATGAATTATGTTCAGTGTGCAACTTTTACTAAAATTCAAGTCTTTAAAGAATTTGACTAATTTGAAAAGCAGTTTTAACAGTTAACATTACATTTAAATGACAGCTTAATGTTATTCTAAAATATTTATTTCTCTCAAACATTTCAGCAAAACATTTTTTGCCACTTTACACCAACTTTGAAATATTCTGTTTTAAAGTCAACAAAACCATAAAATTTAACCAGATGTTAGGTATATGTATTAATAAAACTTCCAAAACACAAAACAGAAGAAATTGTTATGCTGTGACTACACACTTACCATTGGTAGGATCACAAATATTTTCTACAATTACTACTTAAAACTGTAGGAATTAACTCAATGCAAACCACTGAATCAGCATTCCATCCTCAATTCCTACCTTACTTTTACTGAGCTGTTACAGAGATTCCCTCCTAGAAAGGGATTTCAAGTTCCCTGTTTTTAATCTATGAACTTACCACATACTCCTTAGCAAAGATCACTGTTTTCCATTAGAATAAGGAGACAAATAGAAGCCCATTTCTCATTTTTACATTATGCATGGAGCCTCTGAAGAAAAGCTCAGAAGAAAATGGGGCTAAACTATAAATTACGACAATTTGTATAGCAGAGAGGAAAATATAAAAAGTACAATAAAATGGGGAAGAATACAGTAACTTGAATAGAACTTTGGTGTTTCATCTCCCAAAACTAATATTTTTTTCAATTAAATTGCCCCTTATAACTTAAAAGGTCAAAGAAAATAGGTAAGCCTAAATCTCTTCAGTACAAATGACCCTTGTTGCTTTCAGAACAACTCTGCTCTCTGGTCAGCCTCAACCAGCTAACCTCTGAATCACAGTCATCACCCATCAAAGGAGTATTGTGGTGGAAGAACCCCACCTTTAAAGCATTAAGTCTCAAAGACACCTAAAGTTTAGAGCAGAAACTCCAAAAACTCCCTAACTTGATCCTCTTGAATATGTACTTCCCCTGGCCTGGGGATGGACTCAGGGTTTGTTTTGTACTATCCAGACACCTGATCTGAATCTCTGGATCTCAGTGTTCTTTTCTACCATATAAATGTTTTCGACTAGTTCACTCTCTTCCAAGAAAGGTATTTATCTAAACTGTAGCAGGTACATGTAACTCAAAAGCAATAATCCTCAAATATCTTAGTGCAAGATTTGCATTCAAATCAAGGGCTTCCTTATAACCCAGTCTTCCCTATGCAGTAGAGCAGATAATGTGAGGACCACTACTTGGCCACTTAAGTTCCATGAATGATAATCAGAGTAAGGATAGCAGAAAAGGTTTCCTTGGCACTCACTGGGTGCCAGGCCCTGTGCAAAGCATTTTGTAGGTATTAGCTCCGTTAGTTCCTTCTCTTGAGGAAGAAATTCTATTATCTCAGATGAAGACAAAAATGAAGTGACTTGCCCAGGGTCAACACACAGTTGGCAGCGGGCACTGCCAGGATCTGAACTCTGGTTTGATGGTTCTCACAGCCCAAGCTCTCCTAATCTCTATTGCTTATAAAAGAAACCTGAAATTAGAAAGATGTCTGTAACTGACACAATCATAGACTATAAGTGATGAAAAGACTGACTCATGACTGAGGAAAGTAAGGCTCCTGAAGATTAAAAATGGAGATAAAATGACCAGCTCTACCTTCTGTCACCTGCCTAATCGCAGATACAGGGCATTTAGTCTCCTGACAACCAGCTTTAGGTGTCTTCCCACCACACTACTTGACAAAGTTGATCACTCATAGGATTTATCATTACCCTGACCTCTCATCTAGACAAACACTGCCTCAAAGTATGTTTAAATCACAAAGCATTCACTGTAACTTATAAGCTTTAGGTTATCTATAAATTTTTACAATGAAACTAAAACATAGAAAAGGTATTCAAAGAGGAACGGGGAACCACCAGTAAAAAGAAATGAAAAGCAGGTCATGACAACTGTTCAGTAAAAAGCATTCCATGTGCAACATATTTTCTAATACAAGTTAACTCTGAATTGACAGTTGGGCAAAGTACAATCCAAAATTTTCAAATCTGATCAAACATACTGGATTAAATGTTCCAAATATAGGTTGCTTTTTTAAAGGGCCATTAACTCAAAAATGTTTACCATTAACAACTGCCTCTTCTGTTCGATCCTTAATTTTAGTATTAATGAACTGTGATACTGAAAATCAAACCCTGACATAAACTGGTATAGGAACACAAGCTTCAGAAAAAGAACCTGAGTCAGCCTTAATTCCTGCCTCAGCGTTTCTCTAGAGTGAGGACAGCAGCCAAATGACCCCAGAAGCACCTAGGCTACAGACTCCTTCCTCTGCATGCTTATTAGTAACATCATAGGGCCATTCACTTTTTGTGTAGAAAAATATTATTCACTTCAAAATAAATTATGCTTTCCAAATGAGGGAAGAACTAACCAGAGACAAAAGAGAATAGGCATTCCTCCCTCTTCCTCTATCCCACGATTAATAAATTCCAAAAGACACCAATGACACCTTGACATACACTCTGGAATGGAAATTGGAAAGACAGTCTAGACACTGTGCAGGAAAACGAAACCTAAGTTAAGGTGTAGAACTGCATTCTGGTCTTGGTTTTTAAAGCTAATAGTAAAAACTTTTTCTATTGTTCTAAATACAGATGGTATTTTAATTACCACATTATGCCACAATCCACCAATCTAGTCTAGGTCTTTTAGTTAAACTGAAAGAACTGAATCAGCATTTTGGACTACAGCGCTCTATCCACTTCATTCACTATTTGTGAGGGATGACCGACCCAAAGACAACATCCTTGGACTAAACAGGTGGTCCTAGCTTAAACTATTTGCCCTTAAAGCTAAGTTAAGATACTGTGGATCAACAAAATCTGACTTTAAAAAGATTAAAATAAACTTCTTCCACTCACACATCTTTACCAGAGATAGTTAGGGGGTAAAAAAAGGCTTTCGACAAGTTTCACATTTACCTGTTCACCAGTCCAAATTCTGGATAGACGGGGGGGAAAAAAGATGCATTCAAAACTCTGGCATGGAGAAAGAAAAAGCACTAACAACCACAACCTCAACTACACATTATTCCTAGCATGCGCTCATGGAAAGAACCTATCTTCAGTCTAAAGACCTACAAAACTTTTTTTGCCATGAAGCAAAAACACAGGATACCATTTCTGCTCCAAAATGGAAGTTTCCTCTTCCCTTAGACTTTAAATCACTAGGGACCAGTAAAGTTCCACCATTTTCAACCATATCTACATATGTGTCCCACTGCTCAGATTGGCAAAATAGGGTTTGAAATTATTTCATACTAGTTAGATTCCTTTCTAGATTAAAACAAACAAAATAGGAAATTTGGAAATGTTAATACCAGACCCAATCAATGGGCATTAAGACTGTGCAACAGAAGATTTACAATGTTTCACTTTTAGAATGGCAGGTCTCTAGCAAATTTATGCTTGTACCTAATTCCGTCAAAAATGCAAAGGCAACTCAAAATATGATCCTATTACATTTGCTGTTCGATTCCAAAGAAACCAAACTCACCAACTGACAATGCAAAGCTAGACTTCAATATTTAGAAGACTACCAGAATTCTAGCTCCCGTTGTTGCCAAATATGCCCTTTTCCTTCGTCACATCTAACATCTTTAAATACACTTTCAAAGCTAATATAGTCAAAAAATGGTCGACTTACTAAAACTCAAAGATTTGTGCAAGTTGATTTTTTTAAACATGAGCAGGGAAAGTTGGTAACAAGCTTTGCTTTATGTTTTGTGCATTAAAACAAAGATAGACTTGACCTACAAAATGAAGATAGGGTCAACTGTAACCAAAAACAGTATGCTTCCCCTGGCGGCCAACGACGGAATGGAGAAGGCGTGCAAAGAAGAGAAAACAGCCGGGTCTCCTAGTTCTAGCCTTTCACTCGCAAATGAGACGTAACTACCAAAAAAGGAAGATGTGGGGGAAGGGGAAACTATCAATAAGACTACCATGAGTTTAAAAGGGATACAAACCTGGGTGTTAGACTATTTAAATTTAAGAGATTTAAATCAATGGACCAAAATTTAGAAGGCAAATGTGAGCAAGGTCATTTACTTCCATAGTGCCCAAGAGCTCAGTTAGGGAGCCCTGTGTATTTTCATTTCAAAGAACACCCAGAGTTTAGTAACAGCTTCAGAGCGATTATCGCCTTTTTCAAGGACTAGATGCTTGCAATTTTCTGCAGTCCTGTTCCCAAGGAAAAGCATTTATGCATTTATTTCCTCAAACTAGTAGTATAACCTACATATAGAGATCGTCCAGCTCTAAAGCCCTCTAACCAGGAGGGCTGCTAGCTCCAGTTCAAGATTCCCTTCTGATTTTTTTTTTTTTCTGAAATAAAACCTATGTCCTTTCAAACATTTTCTATGCCAACAATCTTTAAAGACAGTCTCATACTGAGACCGGCCAGAATCTCATGCATTAAAATCTGACGAATTCCTTTGTCTGATTGGATTTTTTCTGGTACCACTTTAAATTTGCTTCCACAAAGAATAGCAGCAAACGAAGTAAATGTTCCATTCAAGGGTGTAGGGATTTCTTGAAGATGGAAATAATTTGTTAGGCTAAAGCTTCTTTAGATTTTCTTTCACAACCCCTTGTCTCAACAAGAATAAAAAAAGAAAGAAAAAAAGGGAAATACAAGCACATTTACAAATAAGGTCCTAAAATCAAACTGCCACAAGCAAGCCTCTCCCCCAGGCAGGCGCCCTCCGGGAAGCACACTTCTTTTTAACTGATTTTGGGAGAGTCGTTATTCTACTCGGGAGTCGGGCCGGCGGGCGCCCAGAAGCCGGCAGGAGGAGTTAAGGGCCTGCGGGGCAGCATTTGGCAGGGGAGACACGGGCCCGAGGGCATCCTGAGTCCGGAACGCTCGCGGGATGCTAACTCTCCGGCACTGCCACCCCTACCCCTGGCCGAGGAGCAGCTCTTCCGGACGCGGGGCCGCCGGAGACCCCCGGCCAGAAGCGGCCGCGCCGACGCCGTCGCCAGTCAGCGGGGTCGCAGGGCACCGGGCACCGGCCCGACGGGGGGCAACTCGGGGCTTCCCCGCGTACAGAGGCCCCCTCCTCGTCCCGCCCTGCTGTTCTCGCCGTGGACGGCAGGGCGAACACGCACAGAAAGAAAGTTGTCCGAGGGCTCTCCGCCCACTCGGGCCGCCGGCCGGTCGGCCGGGCACTACTCACCGGGGTCGAAGTCGGGCACCACCGCCTGGTACTGGGGTCCGACCCGCATGCCGCCGCCACCTGCGGGGAAGCAGAGCACGGCGGTCAGCGGGCGCCGGGCGGCGCGGAGCGGCGCGGGGCGGCGGCCACCTACCGTGCTCCTCGTCGCTGGACGCGCCCGAGCTGCCTTCCTCCCAGGAGGTGCTGCCGCCGTTGGCCGCCGCCAAACTTTTATTCTGCCCATTACTGGGGGCGGCGGCCGAGGCGGCGGCGGCCGAGGCGGCGGCGGCGGCCGAGGCGGCCGAGGCGGAGGCGGCAGAAGCGGCGGTGGCTGAGGCGGCGGCGCTGGCCGCGTTGTTCCTCCCCCTGCGCTTCCCTGAGACCTCGGGGCCCTTCTCCACCATGGCCGGCATCGGCGGGGGGCCGGAGCCGCGCCAAAGTGGCGGGGACCCGCGGCTCCGGAGGAGGGGGCGCCGGGCCAGGGGGGAGTGCGGCGGGCGCGGCGGAGCCTGCGGCGCGAGCTGGGGCTGGGGGCGGCCTGGCGGGCGGAGCGCGGAGCCGCTTCAGGCCCCCAGCGCCGTGCCGAGCGCAACTTTCGCTCGCATCGCCGCCCGCACTTCACTGGCACCAACTACTCCGGGAGCAGCGAACGGACGGGGAGGCGGGGCCTGGGGCGCCGGGGAGCCGCGCGCAGCCCAACCCGGCGCGGGACGGCCCCGCCCCCACGCGCTCCCATTGGCTCTTCCGGGATTTGGACGGCCAGCCGCCGGCTGGTTGGCCCGGCGCTGCCGTCCGTGCAAGGGAGCGGGGCGGGAGCTCGGGGAGGGGGCGGCTCCGGGCTTCCGTTGGTCAGGTTCGGTTGACGCGTATCGCCCGCTGTAAGTGGTTTGAGGTTTGCAATCTCTCTACGCCCCATGATCCATCTCTCTAGGCAATAGCGAGGAGTTAGCTGCCCTCCCCGCCCCCTCCCTCTTCCACGGCCCCCACCGCCTCCCCTGCATGCACCCCGCGGGGCCTCTGCCCCCACATTCCCCGAAGGGCCCCACTGAGAGTCCCATAGGCTTCAAAAAGTTAAATATGCACGACAGGAGAACAGAAATTGAATGCAAGGTGGGGACTATTTTGCCCCTCGCGCGGAGGATTACATTCCACAGTTTGAATGGGCTCTATACAAAGAGGAGGAACTAATTGGAAGGAACTAATTGCACCCCACGCTTTCCCAAGGGATGTGAGGGTGTATCAGGGCTGGGGCGGCCCTGGTGCAGGGGACAAGGTTCCCAGGTGACGGCTCCCCTGTAGGGAAAGGAAGCAGAATGGGAACTCGGCGGGCTTGTGGAGCTTCCTGCTAACTGGGTTGGGGGCGGCTGGCAGTCGCCTCAGTTGCCAGAGTGGCCGTTGCGCAGCCCCTGCGGAGGCCCGAGGGTAGGGTCCTGAGCGGCCCCTGCCCTGACTTTGAGTGCGGGCGCCGGGTCCCTGCCGTCCCTGGAGGTTTTGATCAGCGAAGGAGCCGAATTGTCCCTGAGGGAAGGGAGCACTTACAGAAGTGGGGAGGTAGACTTATACAGATGGACTGGGGTCCAGGAAGGGTAAAGAGGAAGAAGCTATTTTCATCCCAAGCCCTTGGTAGTGGAGGAGGGTCAACTTCCTCCGAGGCAGGAGCCACTTTTCCGGATCTGCTGCCTGCCCTGCCCTGCCTCCCCCACTCCACCTCTGGCACCGGAGAGGGAGAGCACTACCCAGCCCGAGACATCCAAGCCTTGGAGTGTGACCACCGGTGGGCCCAGATGGGAGGATGGCGGGATGGAGGGAGCGTGTGACTTCCTTGGACATCTGTGTCTGCCCCACCTCCACTAACCTCCCAAAACAACCCGCTGTTCGCACATAATTAGGAGGCGAGAGAAGGTCTATAAATGAATTTTTTTTTAATGCACCGGATGGCTATTTTTCCTTAAGTTACTTAGAACCTGAGCTTTATAGGGGGACAGTTTACACCAGCTCAGAATATAGCTACAGACAAATCTGGAGTTTTACGGTTTCAAAACCTGAATAAATAAGCAGGGTGTTTTCTTCCACATTTTCTGTATCATGAACCATCGTTGTTAACTAAAGTGAAGTGACCATGTTCACTTCTGCCTAGATGACCTTTAAGAAACAGAGCTTGGAGCCCTCTCCGAAGAGGAGCCCTGCCCCTGCCAAGTTCAGGGGCCGGTGCCTGCACTCCCCTTAAAAGGATACCTCTCTCCTTAGAGAGCCCCAGGCAGTGCAGGTGTGTGCCCCCCAGGATACTCCCAGCCAGTTAGTTTGGGAAGGGTGCAGACAGCAAAGCCACGGGTTAGGAACCAGAGGTGGTATATCCTGGGCTGAGCCAACTGGCCGAGGGCCTTGACCCATCTGGAGGTGAGCTCTGTGTGAGGAATTGAGGTTAAGAGCACTCTGTCCTGCTGGCTTAGTGTCTGAAGTTCTACCAGCGGACCCTGGAAAGATTAGCCTACAAAGCACAAAGGTCATATTGAGTTATTTATTAGGGCAGCAGGGATGGCAGGCCACACGGGGTCACCAGCCCACCCACCAAATCCCAAGATTGGGGCTACTTCCTGGCTGGTTATAACTGTGGGTACATCACTGGAGGGTCCAACCATTCACCATCTTCAACAAATATTAACACCTGTTCTAGTTTGTCTGACTCCAAAGCCAGGTGGGTATCACATTGACCTTGACCACCTCAGCCTCCTCATCCATAAAACATAGATATTCGCTGGCCTGGTGGATATGTATAGAGCCCATCTTCCCAGCTCCATTCTCCCTGCACTGGAGGGAACCCTCCAACCTGAAGGAAACCCTATTCATGCCCCTGCACATTGCTTGGGATGGAGGGTGGTCCACAAACAACCCTTCTGATTGGGAATTTTTGACCTCAAACTTCACACTGGCACTCTGTACAGTCAGCAGCCCTGCCATGTTTTTTCGGGACACGATCCCACTCGAAGATTTCATGCCTTCTCTCCTCTCCTCACACCTCCCACATCCCCTTCTGCCCTCCCAGCCAAGGACCTCCCTCTCCTTCAGTGAAAAAAACTAAAACCATCAAATGGGATCTCTTATCTTCCAGTCCCCAAGTTGATACATCTTGCTCAGCCTCCACCCGCGCGTCAGCCTTTCCCGCCCTCGTCTTGCTCTCAGGCACCACCTCTTGCCGCCCTTCCCTTGCTCCGTCAGCCTCTCTTTCCCCCTGGATCAGCGGCTTTCTTCCTCCTACCTCTCTCTCTACTCCCCCCCCCCGCCACGGAAAGCTCCAAAGACGCCTCTCCACCTGCCTTCTCCACTCCCTCCCTTCCCAGTATGTCCTCACCACACTCGAGCAGGCTGGGTCCCAACTCTTAACTGTGGCTAAGGGCTCCCACAAGCTCCCTACTCTCAACCCGGCGGTCATGTCTTGGTCTCCCTGAGCTTCTCAGCAGCACCTGAGTCCACTTCTTTGGGAAACGCCCTCACTTCTCTGCACCTGGGGCTGCCTGATTCTCCTCCTACCTCAGGCCACGCCCCTCAGTCCCCTGTGCAGCCTCCGTGCCCTCCTTCCAACCTGTAATTGTTGGGGTTCCTCCTAGGCCCCTGCTCTGTGCCTGGGGCATAGTAGGTGCTCTTAAATATATACAGGCTGCTGTGGGCGGCAGAGCAGAAGCTCAGCCCAGTGAAGGGGGGATTCCTGGAAAAAGTTTGGGCTGACAGAGACGTGAAATAGGTGGCCCTTGGCTTGAGTCAGCCCAGTATCCCCCTGGAGGAAACCCCTCTCTCACCTACTCCAGCTTAGGAGCTGCCAGTCGGCACATGACCCAGGCCTGGCCAATCAGAGTGCCCCAGTCCTCTGGACACAATGTTTGGCTCAGGCATGAGCACATGACCCAGCCAGGCCAATCAAGTCCCTTTCCAGAACTTTTTCTGAAACTCTCAGGAAGGCTGTGAAGTCAGGTCCTAAGGGCCAGGAAGCCTGCCTCTTGCAGTTAGGGGCCCACCCCGAGGGCAGGTTGGCCCCGTGTCCAGGGCTGGAATCCGGAGATGTTGGCTCTGGGGCTCTGGGTTGTACAGTGTGCGCACATGAGAGCTGGGGCCTCGCTTGGCCACCCCAGTGCCGACCCTGCTCCAGGCTGCCCTCCTGCCTGACCAGTCTGTAGGAAGAGGCGGGTGGAGTCCCGCTCCCTGCACCCCATAAACCAGGCCTTTTAAATTGAGCAATTTGAGTTCCTGTTAGAACTCAAAGAATCCTAAATGATACAAATATTTAAGTATTAACCTGGGGCAGGACAAGAGAAAGAATGTGCAGGCAGAGGAAACAGCACCTTTCCGTCTCCTGTCCTGCTCTCGCCATTGAATCTTGAGCTTTCAATCCTCGCAATAGTCCCATCAGGTGAACCCAATCACGACCACCTCACCCACCCTTTGCATGTACGGACACCGAGGCACCTAGAGGTGTAGTAATCTGCCTAAACCATGTGGCCCGCGGGTGGAGGAGCCTGCAGGTCTCAGCCACAGAGCTGTGCTGCCACAGGGCTCGCCAGAAACCTAGACAGATGGGCAGGGCCAGGGGCTGCGATGTGCGGAAAATGACTTGTCTGGTTCTACGCATAGTCGCATAGTGTTTATCATCTTTATGGCTTGTATTTTCTCAGTTTAGTAGTATTGTTAGATGGCTCGTTAGAAAATTCTGCCAGGCAGGGAATAGCTTCCCCAAGGCTGGAGCGAGGCAGAGGGCAGAGTGGGCTGGCCTGAGTGACAGGAAAACAGCCCAGAAGCCAGTCCTGGGAGAGTTCAAACCCCCAGAGACTATTTAGAAACTGTGACCTTAGGCAGGAATTTTCGCCATCCCAGGAGTCCTCCACCTGCAATCTGTAGATCGAATTCATGGGGACCAGGAACCTGGGAGGGTAATAATAACTTCATTTAAATGTTTTTAACTGAAGTCTAGCATTTTTCTTCAATTATGAATATAGGTGGTATTATCAATGACTGACTCTGTCACTCATGGGAATCATGATACTGCCTCATCACTTTTCAGCTGTTGAAGAGATTTCAGAAGAACAGTATGTGTACACTCATCTCCAAAATCACAGAAGATAGTGGACCTGCTGCTAGATCTTGTTACTTAGTGTGTTAATAACTCAGTGAATAACTCATACTGGATCTCGGACCTAACTGTAACAGCTAAAACAAGGAGAAAAGCACAGGAGTAAATCTCTATGATGTTGAGGTAGGTCATTCCTAAAGCATAAGGAAAAAAAAGAAAAAAACATAAATTAGACTCCATCAAAATTAAAAGCTTTTGTGTTGCTAATGATACCAACAAAAAAAAGTGAAAAGATGGTCCACACAATGGGAGACAATTTTTGCAAATTATGCCTGGTAAGAAACTTTATCTAGAATATATAAAGAACTCTCACAATTCAATAATAAAAAGATGAATAACCCAATTTTAAAATAGGTCGAGTACGTGAATAGACATTTTCTCCAAAGAAGATATCCAATGGCTAATATGCACATGAAAAGCTGCTCAACATCGGCAATCAGGAAAATGGAAATCAAAACTACAATACGATTCTGCTTCATGCCACTAGGATGGCTGTAATAAAAAAGACAGGTAATAACA